GGGGGGGGGGGGGGGGGGGGCGAAGAGGAGGTGGCTGTGGTATTTGAGTGGCTACTTCTAGTACTGACACACCAAACCACACAAGGACACAATTTACAGAGGCAAAAATACAGTGTGTGCAGTGCCCTGGCTTCTACAACCATGTCTCATAGTGCTGGGCAGTCTTTGTTGTTGTCGTTGTTTTGTCTGTTGGTGTGTGTTTGTGAAACAAGGTCTCGTTATGTCCATGCTGGACATACTCAAACTTAGGAGCTTCCTGACTCAGCCTCTCAAGACCCGAGGCCACATTTCCACTCCGGCCTCCACTGGGAACTCTGATGGCTGGCATTAGCGATAGGAAAATCAGGACAGCTGGTGTCACCGTCCTACTCGGGGGAGGGCCAGGTTCCAAAGGAATTCACTGGGTGAGCATTTCTTACAGACTCTCTTATTAACTAGTTGGGGGATTCCAGAAGCCAGACTGGGCCTTATGCAAGACACCGAGGTCGTTGTCATCGGCAACCAATTCCAAAAGAAAGAAAATTCCCAGGAAGTGGTCGCTGTGGCTCTAGTTACGCAGGCAATAATGGCAGTACCTGAGTAGCATTTAAATCTCAAGCACCTTTTCGCTTCAAAACACAAGCCGGTTATTTCTTGGTTTGGCGCCCCGCCCCCCGCCCCCTCAAAGGGACGCGTCCGAAAAGCATCCCGGTCGCCCCGCGCAGCCCCTGCAGTTCCTAGGAGTCCCGAGAGGTGGCGATGGAGAGCAGCGGGGCCTGGCGGGAGAATCGTGAGCCCTCGGCCGGCTGGGGGTCGCCGGGCTAGCCACTGCGAGGCTGCCAGTCGGGACTCTGACGTCGGGGGCGGGGCCAGAGGCCTGACGTAAGGGGCGGGGCCTGGCAGCTCTCCCTGCTGGGCCGGCGATTCATTCAAAAGGCGCGCACGGTGCGCGACCGGCCCCCAGCGCTCGCCTCGCCTCGCGGGGACTCTGCGCCGCCGGCCGGGTAAGGAGAGCGCGTTCGGCCCGCAGCCCCGCTCTGCTCCTCTGAGGAAGTTCTCCCGCGCGGCGGATGCGGCAGCCCCGCTCTCCTGCCCCGACCTGTCCCGTCCCTGCGCATCCCGGAGCTCCGCGACTGCGCGTCCTCCCCACACCGGGCGCTGCGCAGTCTGTCAGAAGGTGCGCGAGGGGAAGCAGCGGAACTTGGCTGCCAAGGGTCGGTGGAACCCGGGAACTTGGATTGACACCAGAATTGGTTGTAGGACGGGACGGCAGCGCCTCGGTGCGGCTGCAACGCGGGGCTGCCGGGAAGGGGGGTTTGAACGGTGTCAGCCCGTGACTGTGGGTGACACGGCGCATGAGGCGGCCTGGCCCGGGTAAACGTGTGTCTGGGACCCTGGGTGGTGACACCAAGCCTAGCGGGCGACACAGAGGGGCTCTGTGTCGGAGGCAGGTAGAGTGTATGTATGTGATTGTTTGTGAGAGACCCCGGGTCACTGGGGTCACTGTGTGTGGCCTGCAGTGTGACCGGGGCAAGGACCACTAAAATTATGAGTATAAGGTAGAAGAGATGAACCTTAAACAACTTGAGCAAGCCCTGAATCACGGGGTCACAGGGTGCATAAGGAGCCAAGTAGAGAGAGAGACACAGAGAGAGAGACAGACAGAGAGAGAGACAGAGAGAGAGAGAGAGAGAGAGAGAGAGAGAGAGAGAGAGAGAGAGAGAGAGAGAGAGAGAGAGAGAGAGAGAGTGTGTGTGTGTGTCTGCTTGACTCAGGACAGAGTAAGGAGACAGAAGGAGGAACCTGACACTTTCCAGCAGCTGAGGGGCCAAGGAAGATGAGTCTAGGGAATAAAGATCTCTCAAAGGCACCCTTCAGGAGTTCAGGTTAGTGAGGTTGGTGAGTTGTTTGCATCCAGATACAACCTAGCAGAAGGACAGGAGACCAAAGCTGGGCGGCACTGGGTGGGTAGCCCCTCTAGCACAGAGAAAGACCCGAGGTGGTTTCGATTTTCACACTCACACACACAGTGAAATCTCCAACGTCTGCCAGGGGCACTCTGTAGTCTGGGTCTTATCAGAATCCGCCCCTGCTGGGCCTCAGTCTCCCAGTCTGCACCGAGGTGTGAATAGCCTGTGCTCTGTGAATCATCACTTTGGGATCTTCTATTGTTTTTGGGTCAGTCTCTGCCATTCTCCTTTCTCCTCCAGGCTGAAGGACTGCAGTGGGGGTGGGGGGCAGGCTTCTGCTGGTTTTCATCCATGTGCTAGGGGAAGGTTGGAAACAGTCTTGCCCACAGACTCCTGCTCAAAAGCCACCTGGTCTTTTAGATTCTGGAATCTCAATCCAAAGACACTCTCTACTCAGGTCTCTTTTCTTCAGCTCCCTATTTGTTCTCCAGCAATGAATGGTCTCTGATCTGGACTTGGAGTTCTTGCTTAATCCTCATCTGGGAAAGACTACTTTGAGGCTCCTGCTCCCAGAAGAGGGTCAGTGCCATTCATGTAGAAAGGGTGGTAACTGGGCTCCCTAGCTCCGGAGGTGGCAGTGGGGTACCACACCTGATAGAAGATGTATGTGGAGGTTCTGCTTTCTCTAATTCTCTGAAGATGTTGTTGGATGTTGAGGGTGCAGCGGCTGGCCCTGCTGTAAACACTTTGTAATGTGCTGCTTCATTGAATCCTTGCAGTGGTCCTGAGACTTGGTGACTGTTGACTAGTTAGTACCTGAGGCCCAGAGAACCACAGTGACTTGTTCAAGGTTCAAAGTCAGGACAGTGCCCGGACTGGAGCTCGAGTCTTCTAGCCCCGTGAAGTGCTTGGCGAGGATCACCACCTTCCTGGTAATTGCTTGTGGCTTATCTGGGCCCAAAGTGAGATGCGTGTGCACACACGGCTGACAAATTGCAAGTGGGTGTTTTACATGGTCTTCCTGTTCCTTCTCCCTGCTGAGCCAGAGATCACCAGAAAGACCTGCCTCTAAAGGATCTAGAGTTGGCCGCACAGGCCAGGGGTGGCAGGAATAGTGTCCTTCATCATACATGAGACCTTGTGCTTGCACCCTGTCCAATCTGGGTCTGTGTCCCCCATTTTTCCCAGATACCCCTTCTTATTCTGATCACGGTCCCTCAGTCCTCCCTGGAATGATTGGAGCTGTGCTTTTGGGGCTGTTGAAAATAGCTGCCTTGGTCTCCAGGGGCTGAGCCCAAGTATTTCCATCTCTAGCATAGAGGTAGAAATAGCTGAGGGCCAGGAAAAGGAGAGAAGGGAGAAGGGCTAACTAAGGGTTAACTCCCCCTTCTAGCCCAGCATCTGTGGAGCCCCACCCAAGCCAAACCATTCTGGGAACTTGGGCCTCTGGGGATGACAGTGGGGCCAAGCTGGGTTTCTATTTGGTGTGGTAGCTGCTAGAGGGAGGTGCCTGTGTCTGTCACTGGTGTAAAGCAGAGGGACCCAATTACAGAGCTGATAGGCTCAGCCCCACTTTACACAGGGCACAGCCAGCTCCCTAGCCTTGTTGGTCTCCTCTCCACTTTACCTCCTTCTGCTTGACCCCTGGACACTTGGGCGGCAAGGGAGGCAGCTTTGCAAACTGCTCCTGCTCTGGCTCTCTCTGCATGCCCAACTGCTTTTTTGGAGTTTGTGTCTTCAGTGCTATGGGTTGAACCCAGAGCCTTGTGCATGCTAAATTGGGCTGGTCTAGTTAGAAAAGCCAGCGCTGCAACCCTGCCAAGTGCTCAGCCCTTAAGGCTATCAGCCCCTGTCCTCCAGAGTCCTTCTAGACATAGGCAAGGAAGCCAGGAATCAAAGAGAAGGCACTTTTAAGACCCTAGTGCCACTGGGTCCAAATCCAGGTCCATGGCCTTGACGTCCAGAATTCTTTCCTGGGCTATCCACCCTGGGAAAGACGAGCACTCTATAAATAAACTGCCCATGCGGCTCCCAGAGTGTGGCTGGTTGGTTGGCACAGATAGAGGGGGATGGAGGGGCCTTCTGTAGCCAATTAGAGGCAGGGTCCAAATGTGAGTTTGAGAGAAGGAACTGAACTTGTTCTTGTGTGTGCTCACAGTGGGAAGGACCTGAGAGCCCTGTACTCTGCCTCACTACTGGCAAAGGTTAAAGGAGATGAAGAAATGATACCCTGAAGGATGGGGTGGGGGCTGGGCTCAGGTCTGCTTGTGAAGAACTGCTGCTAGCCTGTGTGTTCTGGATCTTCTCCCTATACCATGAGATCACCCGAGTTATGGCAGGTGAGGCCGCATGGGAACCTTCCTGCTCAGTCTGCTTTGCTGACCTTTTGTTTCTAGCTGTGTGGAAGCAAGCGCACGTCGGCCTCCGAGGCTACCTGGATCTCGCGCTGCTGAGACCTTCGGACTTGGGTTCCTCCTGCCGTGCTTTAGACACCAAGCACCTTGGCAGCCTTGACGGGAGGGGCACTGCTTGTTTTGAGTCTGAGTTCGTCCAATGGCCCTTGTGAGGCTGTGGTGTTAGAAATGGTAGTGCTAGCTGGGCATTGGTGGCGCACGCCTTTAATCCAGCACCACCCGGCAGAGGCAGGCGGATTCCAGGAGCAAGAGTTACACAGAGAAACTCTGTGTCAAAAAACCAAAAACACTGAAACCCAACAGCAACAACAAAACCAAAAAGAACTTGGCCAGTGCTGCTGTTTCCTGCTATTTTCTTTTTCATTTCTTGTTGTTGTTGTTGTTTTGTTTTCTGTTTTTCGAGACAGGGTTTCTCTGTGGCTTTGGAGCCTGTCCTGGCACTTGCTCTGTAAACCAGGCTGGCCTGGAACTAACTCACAGAGATCCGCCTGCCTCTGCCTCTAAGTGCTGGGATTAAAAAAAGCTTGCATTACCACTGCCTGACTGGCCAGCATTGCTTTAGTGAAAATCCAAATATGCCCTCCACGTCCTTTGAGGTCCCAAACTCAAGACAGGTTAAGTGACCTGTTCAAGGTCACAGAGCCACCTAGTGACTGCGGGAGCTGCAGCTCAGGTGGGCTGTCTCCAGGCTAGCCTTGCCCCTGCTGGCACTACCATCACACACATGCCCAGACAGGCCTCAGCACACCTCCTCTGCGTGGGCCTCAGTCCCCAGCACCCGAATCTAAGGAGTTGGAGAGCTAGCAGGAACCCCGTGGTTTCTCCTCAGTTTCCTTAAATTTCTGTTCCAGGCAACCAAATTGGGATGATTGAATCAGGGTGGATGCTGAGCGGTGGATCCTGACTCATTAGCAATGCAATAAAAAGTGGGGATGTGGCCAGGGCAGCAGCTAAGCTGATTTCTGGGGTGCAGTGGGGGCAGAAGCAGCATGACTGAGGGGTGAACCTGTGTTTTCCCCCTGGGTCCTTGCTGTCCCGTCTTCGGGCCAGAGGAGGCAGTCCTTGGATGGTCCAAGTTTTTTTGTTGTTGTTGTTTTGTTTTGTTGCAGAACTCACTTTGTAGACCTGGCTGGCCTGGAATACTGGGATTGTGGGATTAAAGGTGTGGTTGCTACTGCTGTCTGACCCGTGACCTTGAAAGCAGTGGGGTTCCAGGTGAGGTGACCTGAGCTGGCTGTGGGCCTTCCCACAGGACTGGTAAATCTTATTACCTTTCAGACCTAGTTCTTTTTTTAAAAATTTGTTACAATGTTTGTTTAATTTGTATTGGCTGGGTGTGGAAGTCAGCTCACAACCTGCAGGAGCCAGTTCTTTCCCTTCCAGAGACTGAACCCAGATCATTCAGGGTTGGTGGCAGGTGCCGTAGCCCTTGATCAAGCCCTTGCTCAGTTCGCTGACGCCTGTGTGCCTGTGTTGAGAGATCCAGCAGGACACGGCCTGGAGAGGAGAGGTGACATGGGACATTCCAGCTCTGTCCTGGGGGTGACTGCCTCGGTTGTCTCAGACACCTCTTTATCCCTAGACTTGTCCCAGGAGGAAGAATTCATTTCCTACTCAGACCGGAGGAGCGGGGAGAGCCAGATCCCGCTGCCTCAGCCTTTTCTCAGCCTTCAGGAGTCAATTAGCCCTTTCAGCCCCTCCTGCCTGCCGTACCACCTGAGCTGCTGAAATGCGGCCGTGGCAGCCAGGAGGCCTGATGAACAGAGCCGTGTCCAGCTCCTGCTGCCCTGAAGTGTGGCACGGGAAGAAAGCGGGGAGCGGGACACCCTTCTTTCTGCATAACCCCTAAGCCGCTTTCATTTTTCTCTGGGCCTTCAACCCCAACAGCAGCCATAGGAGCTGCCCTTCCTGCCTCTGGGAATTCCCAGACTTCCCCAGTCTTCTTGGTTCCCGTGGTTTCTAATGGTACAAACTAGCACAGTATCCAAAAGGGCGTGGGTGGGGTGGGGTGGGGGCCACACCTCCTCCAGGCTCGCCTAGGTCTTTCTAGTACACCTTCAGTTGAGCCCCCATCTGTCTGTATGAGCCACCGTCCACACTTCTGCACTAGCCTTCTCACCATCAGATTGACTGGGCTTCAGGGTTGAAAAGGCAGAGAGAGACAAGACAGTCCTGGGCGCCGTCCCTTCCCTAGTACTATGGGATCCTCATGGGTGACTTCTCCCAACTGTTTATTCAAGTCTGGAAAGGGAATTTCACCTCTGCCATGGATTGGAGGTGAGCTGTGGGAGGGATAGTGCCCTGCTGAGGTCCGTTCCCTTCTGTTAGGGAAGCCAGCAATGCCTAGCAGCCTTAGCTGGCACCCAGTGTGGGCACTGCCCTACTTCAGCCCTAGTTGCCAGGGAACCACTGGGTCCCTTGCTAACCTGGATCCCTCTATTGATGTTGCCTTTGTGCTGCCTGGTGTAGCCACTGCTGAGGAAGGCTTGGGTCCTGCTTTGTTTCCTGGCAACCCTGGCCTCAGAGAGGCGGCAGAGAAGCCACAGGCGGGGAAACAGAATCTACCTTCTTCCCTGTCCTACCCCAGGACCGGCGCTGGTGCCACCTCCTCCCGTGGTGCTCTTACTTGGCTGGCAGCTACCTCTGCTCTGTGCTTCAGGGTTCCCACAGGCCCTGGGAAAAGTGCAAACTCAGCCTGACCTGGGCTCTGCGTACCAGTCTTCCCCTCTCCTATACCCCCACCCCTAGAGTGGCCTGCTGGGTATCTCCTATGTCTTGATCCCTTCCTAATCATTGATCATAACTACAGCAGAGAATTTCCCATGCTTCACACTTGCTGGTCAGATATGCGCCCTTCCCTTTTTAAAATTTACAAATGGAGAAAGTGAGGCATGATCTTACTCTGTGCCAATCCTGTGCTGAGAACTAAACGTGAATTTTCTCATTTCACCTTCACATGAGCTGTCTGCAAGGGGCCCCACAGCTCCCCAGCCAGTGCAGGGCAGAGGAGGGCAAGCTTGTGCTCAGTGATGTTTCCCAGGTCACTAGAGGGCTTCAGGTGCACGTTAAGACCCGCCTGCCTCTGGGCTTCTCTCTCTGGCATAGCTGGGTAGTCTTCTGAAGACATCTCTCCTGCTTCTCATCCCCAGTACAGCCCACAGCAACAGAGCACTGGGCACAGAGGACAGCTTGTGGTAAGAAAGGGGGCTGGGCAAATGGCACCATTGCTGAGAGGAGGGGTGGTGGTTGGGGCCTCCAGGAGGAAGTGACTTTGAACTGCTTTCTGGAGGAAGAGTAGGTGTTGGCCAAAAGTGATGGGAGGGGTTTCTGAAGCATCAAGTCGCTGAGAGAATCCAAAGGTGGCTGGTGTGTGTGTGTGTGTGTGTGTGTGTGTGTGTGTGTGTGTGTGTGTGCGTGCGTGCATGTTTGTGTAAGGAGGTTTTCAGGGGTGTGTGTGGGACACCATTCTGAGGTGGGGGAGCTGATTCAGGGCACACCCACATCTGTCAGGACACCTGGGCTGCAGGTAAGGTTGATGTAGAGGTCCGAAGAGGTGGACTGAGGCCTTGGAAACACTGGGGGAGTGTTCTGGGGGGACTTGGCAGGGGTTAGGGGTAAACCCACAGATTCTAGGAAAGAGGAAGTCGCCTGAGGCTTGGGCGGGCAATACAGCTTCCTCTTTCTGTGAGGCCTCCTGGCAGCTTCTGCAGTTTGGCTTGTACTCGGGGAATTTCTAGTCTGATTGTTTGGGCCTTAGCCCCCCTGAGGCTCCAGTTCCACGCCTGGGTTGGGTGCTGGGCTTTGTGGTGAATAAAACAGACAACCTTGCGCTGACTGCTGTCTGGTTGGGGAACAAGCAGTGAACCAGGCTGCCAACAAATACTTAATTACCACCCCTGGAAGTGTGGGGAGGAAGTCCCGGGACCCACTTGAGGCCCATTACCTGGGCTGTGCTTTTGACAGCCTCCTGCCACAGAAGATAAACAGCCTGCCCTGCAGTTGTACAAGGAAGCCAAGGCTAGGGAAGCTGGGGGCTAAGGTAGATGAAGTTAGCCTGTGAGCTAACTTCCTTCTCCACTAGAACCTGCCCCCTGAACTGTGTGACTAGGCTAACCCTCCTCCCTCTGGTACCTGGAGCTGGAAGGGCTTTCTGGGCTTTACCCTCCACCTTTGGGCTGCAGTGTGCCCATTTCTCTCAGCTCAGGTAGCCTTCAGGAGGTGTTAGGCTTTGGAGGTATCCCTGACTGTCTGGCCTTTTAGACAAGGGAAGTATGGGGGCCTTCACTGACCCCCCTCTGACCTAGGGTCTTTGACCTTGCTTTCCCGTGGGTTTCTAGAGTAGTAGATGCTGGGGGGGGGGGGGGGGGGGGGGGGGGGGGGGGATTGCAGCAGCAGGCAGGCACACGTGTGCATGTGCCTGAGCAGGCAGATGGGCAGGAGGGCTTCAGTCTGGTTGAGAGTGGGTACCGTGCAGCCAGACTGGGGTAATTAGAAGGTGCATAATTAGAAGGCAAGGGATGCGGGGCGGCGGCTGTGGTGGGGAAGCCTGAGTGGGCTCACTCCGGCTCTGAGGACAGGGCAGTCTCAGATCACCTGGAAGGGGCTGCTGGGGTCCAAGTGGTCCTGGGCCTCATCTGGGCTTTGAGTTTTTTCTCTTGTGTTTCTCCCCTCGTCCTCGTTCTGTGGGCTCTTGGGGCTGGGACCGTGCTTTGGTGACAACCTGGAGACTTGGGGTTTGTGCTCAAGTCTGTGATGATGAGATCTTCCCGAGGACTGCAGAGAGGCCATGGAATATGGTCTGGAGGGGACACTGTGGTGCAGAACCTGGTAGGCAGTTTTGTGACTGAAGTTGAGGAGGGACGCATCAAGGAATGAGTCAGGAGTGCCATCTGTTGAGTGTTGACTGCCTTGCGTGGCCTTTACCTACTCTGGAGCCTGGAGCCGTCCTTTCCTGTCCCCGGTCTTCCCCTTAATTGGCCTGGAGCCCAATGCCAGTGACCTGGAGAGTCCCTGGGTGCTGTGACGCCAGCTCCTCCCCCTCCCCTGGGTGTAATTTTAATCCCTGACCCTACTGTGGTATTCTTGGGGCCAGGCCCAGGTCAGCTGGCGGATAGGTTTCCTCTGCTCCACTCTTGTTTCCAGCCAGGAAGCCTGGCTACCAGCAGAGAGGGGGCTCTGTGATTGAAACCTTCTGCGAGCAACATGTAGCCTGTGGCCCCTTGTCCAGTGGGGTGGGGGAGGGCTAGGTCTGTGAGCACCCCACCCCACCTGTGACCCTGACTGTTGTCTGTTCGGAATCCAATCTGTTTGCCATAGTGTCCTCTGAGACACAGGAGCTCCCTGTGGACACTGGTGATCCTAATTCCCTAGTGCAGAAGCATGTCTGGTCTCCAGCAGGCTGAGATGCCAGCACCTAAGCCCAGGCCTCCCTGGGGGAGGTGTAGAGGAGGAACAGGCCTATGACAGAGTTGGCTTGAAGGATTAGGGCCTTCCTGTGGCCGAACCTGTGAGAATTAAGGCAGTGTATGAGAGGCTGGAGATAAGAGCAGGGCTAGAGGTGCTGCAGCCATCTTAAACACCCAGCCCAGGCCTTCCTCAGCTTCCTTCCTCTCCTCTTGCCCCCCTCTGGTGCCTCAGGGCACCTGGCTGTTTATGGAAGGGGAAGGAAGCACTTCCTGCTTTGAGAAACCTCCTGAGCTGTAGAACCCTCAGCTTTCCTCCCGCCTCAGCCAGGCCTAGAAGACTGGCCCTAGCCAGGTCAGTCCTACCTCTGCTCAGACCTGCATCTTGCCATGTAGGGCAAGTGCTTGCCTAGCACCCAACAGCAGTCTTGTCATCCTGAACATGGCTTGTGGGGAGACAATGAAGACATTCCTGCCTGCCCTGGCCACTCCTCCGAGCTTCCTTTATCTGCCCTAGGTCAATGTCACTCCAGGGCCTGACGATGAAGTGGACCTTGCTGGGCTGGCCCCTGTCTTGCCTCTTTGTGGTGAGTTGGAGAAGGGCCCCAGAGAAGCTAGACTAGCTGGTGTCTTGAGCGTGCACCACAGTGCTCCAGGGTAGAGGGTCAGACACTGCTCAGGAGTCTCAGGCTCTGGCGGACTTAAACTCAGTGTTTCTTGGAAGACCCAATGAAGTGTCTACTAGCACTCCCTGGCATGCAGTTGTGACCCCGTAGACACAGGCAATCTAGAAGAGACAGGCAAGCCAGGGATTCAGCTTTCCCAAGCAATTCCCACATGGGCCAGAGGGATTTCCTAGCATTTGCAGGCAACTGAAAGCAAGGTACTTGCCTCAGGCAGGTGTGGGGCAAAGCCAGGAGGGCAGGAGGGGACCTGGAAGACTTTGAGTACCTCCTGCTGCATGTAGGGTCTGTATTAGTTTAGGGAAGCTCGGATTCTGGGGCTGGAGTCAGAGGACCTTGGGGTCTGTGTGGTCTTTCTACTGTGGCTGTGGAAGCTCAGGGATGGCAGACTGAGGTCTCCAGGAGAGAGCCTCCAGCCTTAGCAGGTGCTGGCGGCCAGGCCTGACCTTCTGCCTTTAGGGTAGCTCCATTCTGGTGCCCTCTACCTTAGCAGCTGGGGCCAAGTCGGAGAACAGGGTCTTCCCATCCCTGCGTTCACTTGAGTGGGAAGCAGAGGGAGGCCACCAGAGAGGGGGCGTGACCCACATCTACAGGAGCATTCCTCTGGGACGTGGCATGCCCTGTTTAAGTGCAGGGTATGAATGGAGTGGCTGTGGCACAGGGGGAGGTCACAGAGGAGAATGTGGTCTCAGACTCAGCCCAGGGCCCAGAATAGTAAGTAAGCACCAGCTGCAGCCTTGGCTGCAGGCACGATAAACAGAGGGTAGTTAATGACATGCCCAGCTTGGGGGTGCGGCGGGGGAGGCATGCAGCAGGAAGGGAGGCAATCTCAGAAGAATTCGGAAGCACTTCCTCCTCGTCTGTCTGGGTGAGGAGTTAACTCATCTGAGAGAGGCTATAATTCAGATGCTCAGGAGCTTCAGGTCCTGATCCTGTCTGGGGCTTCCCAGTATTTTCCAGAACAGATATAATTCTTTCTTTACCTAGACATTGGTAGTGCAGCGGAATGGCAGAGGCAGGCTCTTCGAGTGTGCCTGAAGCCTGGGAGGGAGCCCATGTGGTCTGCGATTCACTCAGGAAGTAGGTAGTGAGCAGATGACCCTGAAGGCCTCATGCCTATCACTTTCTTCCTCTGTGGCCACTTCTTCTGTGTTCCACCTCATTCTTCCAGCTGCTGCCCTGGCCTCTGGCCACTCCAACATCAATAACTCCTTGGCTGTGTCCACCGGGCAAGGAACCTGATCTGGTGAGTGAGCGATACACTGTCCTATCCCAGGAACTCTTGAGGGCAGAGGGAGGCCTGAACGCCCATGCCCAGGGCCTCAGGCCTAACTCCTGGCCTTGTAATCTTTTTCCTCTCCACAGGACCCAGGGCAGGGCACATTATGCCGAACCTGCCCCCCAGGCACCTTCTCAGTCTTATGGGACTCCCATCCATGCCAGCCTCATTACCGCTGCAGCCTTCGAAGGAGGTTGGAGGCCCAGGCTGGCACATCAACTCATGATACAGTGTGTGGAGACTGCCAGCCTGGGTAAGCACAGGGTGAGGGTGGGGCTCATGATGGGCTCTTGGCCCACTGCTCCCTGATGGACACCATTGAGGGCACTGGGTAGGAAGGAACTCATTTTTCCTAAGGACACGGCTTAACTTCTGGAGCTCAGTGCCATCTTTCTTCCCCTGCAGATGGTTTGGGTCTCAGGGAGTCCCTCATGTTCCATGTCAGCCATGCTCCAAGGCCCCTCCAAATACTGGTGACTGTGATGGTGAGTGACAGATGGTGCAGTAGGAATTAGAGCCCCAGAGTCCATGCAGCATCCATGTGGGGACAATAGGGTCCTTCTTCAGACCATAGGAGATGAGGCAGTCAGAAGGTGTCTAGATGGTCAGCCACCTTGCTCTTGAGTGATTGAGAGCATCCGGCATCTGGTAGCTACCATGAGGATTGGGGATTCGTCTCCTTTTTGGTCCCGTTATCCCTGTCCTCTCCATAAGAGCCCTATGGATGCGTGTGAGCATGCACCTGTGCCTTTGTTACCTGTGACCCATGGCTTCTTATCAGAGCCAACACCTCTTGAGGCTACTAACTCATGTGAGTAGGATTCCTGTGTCCCTTTGTCTAGGAGCGTGCCATGTGTGTCTGTCTGCGTGGGGGGCAATTAGAGGTTGAGGCCCAAAGGAGCCTCATTGGCTAGTCAAGGAGGAAAGGCATCAGCTGACTTGGGATATTAGTTCTCCTCCAGCTTTGTGCTCAGGCCCTTGGACTTAATTGTCATCACTCCTGCTCTTGGCCTCCTACCCGACCTACCCAGGGCTCCCAAGGCCAGGCCAAGGCAGGACAGCAGGTCAGGCAGAGAGCCTTTCTGAGGCTGTGGAGGGACAGTACCAGCCTGCAACTTCTTTGTATGTTTTTTTCTCTGCTGCCTTGCTTCCATCCTCTGGCATTCAGAATCAGGGCGACGGGCCCGGCGTGGTGTGGAAGTGGCAGCAGGTACCGGTAGCAGCAGTGAGCCTCGGCAGTCTGGGAATGGCACTCGGGCAGGCGGCCCTGAGGAGACAGCTGCCCAGTATGCCGTGATTGCCATCGTACCTGTCTTTTGCCTCATGGGGCTTCTGGGGATTCTGGTGTGCAACCTGCTCAAGCGGAAGGGCTACCACTGCACGGCCCACAAGGAAGTTGGGCCCAGCCCTGGAGGAGGAGGCAGTGGTAAGACCTGACTAGGTCCAGTTGGGGGGCTAGGGATTTTGGAAGGGACCTTCCTGGTCTATAGGTGTGACAGGAGAGGCCTGCAGAGGGCTGATCAGGAAGGCCTCCTGGAGGTGCTGTGCAGCACCCTTGATAGCAACAGGCAGAGGTAAAGTCTTAAGCTGATCAAGTTGGTAAGATTTCTACCTGGGTGAGGTCCTGCTTCACAAGGTTGGGACTTGGCAGGGGCAGCAGGCTCCAGTTGTCTGATTCAAAGTGGCCTCTGGCCTCTGGTCTGGAGCAGGAGAATGCCCTGCATCAGGAGGGCTGGCAGGCCACTTTTTTGGCAGGCACTATGCAGGTTCAGGTTTCAGCTCTGCTGTGGTTTGAGATACAAGTACTGGAACCAGAGATAGAAGGCCTTGGGCCCATTGCTTCTTTTGCTGACCAATGTCTCCTGAAGGGTAGAGACCTTCTGGGCAAATGCACTTCTCTGGGCTGTCAGGAGCCTTCTGGCCACGTCAGCAGAGACACAACCTCTCCCATGCCAGCTTTCAGAGCCCCTCCAACTCCTAACCCTAAATTATTGAGGGAGGGTACAAGTCAGGGCCGATTTAAAGTTATGTTTGGATATTTTATTTTTTTTAATTTTAATTAATTTTATGTATGTGTATTTTGCCTGCATAATGTATGTATGTATGTATGCAGCAGGTATGTATCTGGTGCTCAGGGAGGCCAGAAGACAGTTTACGATCCCCTGGAACTAGAGCCAGACAGTTTTAAGCCACTATGTGAGTACTGAGAACAGGATTCTGCTCCTCTGTGAGAATAAGTACTGTTGAGCTCCAGCTCAAGGTCAGGGCTCTTTTATGTAGGACTGTCCCTTTCTGCTAGCCTAGTGACTTTAAGTGTTGACTGCTGCCAGGGTCCATTCTCACACCCTTAAGGATTAAGCCCAGAGCTGTTAAGTAGTTCTCTGGAGAAGGTGGAGTGCGGAGAGGTCATGGGCCTGGGAAGGTGGTGGGAGTTCTGAGCAAGGAGAGCCAAGAAAGGAGCAGTGCCCACCCAGAAGAGGCTGGTGCAGTCTGCAGGGACAGAGTTGAGTCTAGGTCATGGGCCTGTTGGTCCTATCACCTGAACACCACAGTAGATTCTGCTGAACCTCTGAGCAAGGACTATGATGTCCTCTGCCAGCAGATCCTGGTGCTGCTTGGGAGCCCTGAATCCCTTCTTTCCTAGAATCATGGATTCCTTTTCTTTTCTCCAGGGATCAATCCCGCCTATAGGACAGAGGACGCCAACGAGGACACCATTGGAGTCCTGGTGCGCCTGATCACAGAGAAAAAAGGTGAAGAGAGGATCTTTATGTTTTACCCAATGCCTAGGGGTTGGGGGGGGGGTCTCCTTCTGGAGCCTTAGAGGATGTTTGGGAAAAGTCCTGCCTAGCTCTGCCTCCCCAGATCAAAGCCTCAGCCTGACTGGTACTCCAACCCTGGATGCTGAGTGATTTTTGACTCTTATCTTGACTGGTGAGGGATGGAGGAAGGGCTCTGGGACAGGGATATGGGAGCAGGCAAGGGCTATCTGCCGAGCTGTGGGGCGTTCCTTCATTCTGGAGCTGGGTTCTGATTCCACCTGCCCACAGAGAACGCAGCAGCCCTGGAGGAGTTGTTGAAAGACTATCACAGCAAACAGCTGGTCCAGACAAGTCACAGGCCTGTACCTAGGTGAGTGGTGGGACCCTCAGAAAATCAGCTTGCCTTGTTCCCTTTCATCATGTTACTGGATGGCTTGCCACAGTGACCGTTTCTGCTCCTCCTGCAGGCTGCTGCCGGCCTCCCCCAGCATGCCACACATCTGTCCACATCGCCACCACCTCCACACTGTGCAGGGCCTGGCCTCGCTCTCTGGCTCCTGCTGCTCCCGCTGTAGCCAGAAGAAGTGGCCAGAGGTGCTGCTGTCTCCTGAGGCAGCAGCTGCCGTCACTCCTGCCCCCACCCTCCTGTCCAACCCATCCAGGGCTCCCAAAGCTAGTGCCAAGACAGGACGTCAGGGTGAGATCACCATCTTGTCTGTGGGCAGGTAAGGTGGGCACAGACATAGCAGGGTCAGGGACTAACTTGACAGTCTGGAGATAAGCAGGTCCTTGGGTCAGCTTAGTACCGACTAGCCTTTCCTGGGCCTTTCTGGGTAGTACGAGTGGCCAAAAGAGTCATTTCCCAGCTATGCTGTCTGACATGGAGCTCTTGTCCCAGAGGCATGGTCTTGGTGTTACTATTAGGCCAAAGGTCTGTCCACCTCTAACTAGATGTGGGGCTGCTGGGAGCTGGGCACAAACAGCCTTGTCTCTGGGGGTCTAGGAAGGGCTCTTGGACAGTGTAACAGGCTCAAGCTGTGACCTGGTAGGTGCCTTCTCTGTCCTAGGCTCTCTCTCAGATATGGGCTGTTGGTGCCACCTCTCCCTGCAGGTTTCGTGTGGCTCGCATTCCTGAGCAGCGAACCAGTTTGTTGTCATCTGAAGTGAAGACTATCACGGAGTCTGGGCCTTCAGGGGGTGATCTTCCTGACTCCCCACAGCCCAGTCTTCCCCCTGAGCAGCGGGCACTGCTGGGAAGTGGTGGGAGCCATACTAAATGGTTGAAGCCTCCAGTAGAAAACAAGGCAGAGGTAAGGGCTGGGGGGAAGTTTTCTGTTAGCACCTGGGTCAACCCTGACAGAACAAAGGCCCAGGGAGGCAGTATGGGAAGCTCTGGGTAGATACCACTTTTCTGAAGCCCAAATGACTGTCTGACTTAGCTCTGACCCCTCAATCCTGATCCCCAGGAGAACCGCTATGTGGTTCGGCTAAGTGAAAGCAGTTTGGTCATCTGATGGGCTGTCTAGAGTTAGACGTTCTGCCCTGCTCTGGGAGGTTCTGAAGGCTTTCTGCAGGAGAGAGAGCTGCAGCTGGGACCGAGGACCAAGATGCAAAGGCCTAGCAGACAAAACAGCAAAGACCAAGGCCTGGAGGTGGGACTGTCTGCCCCACTGAGGAGGCAGCTCGCTGTGCAGCAACTGAGCAGGAGATCAAGAGCCCAACCCATTCCTGCAGCCCTAGTCAATTCCCTGCAGGGTGCCCTAACCTGTGCCTGTCCTGAACACATCATAGGAGCCCTCTGTCTTCTAGGAGTCTGGTTTGGCAGAGGAGTGGTGTCTGTACCTGGTCCCCAGCTTGTGCCTTGGGAACTAGTCACTCTTGCCATGTCCTGGATCCTGGACATGCCTCCCTCTCTTCTGGCAGGCCCTGTAATGGGAAGGGGTAGCAAAGGGCCCTGTATTGGTGGCAGAGTACCTAGGTTCCAGCTTTTCTAACTGAAGTGAAGGAGGAGAGCTCAGTGCCCAGGACCTTCCCAGTTCTCTACGGAAAGGTCCAGTTCTGTTGGGGAGCTGACTTTGCTACCCTCCTATTAGTAGCTTTATCTGGCCTGTTTTTGCTGCTTCCTGGACGTTGCCCTTCAAGGCTCCCATTGGACTGTTATGGCAATGCCTACAGAAGGGGCTTACTGCATGTGCCTGCCCTAACCCTGCTACTTTTAAAGAAACTGAAAAATTACCTGACGTGCACAAGGCTCTGGTGCAGAGCCTCAGGCCACCCTGCCGCCTTCCAACTCTGAAGCTGCCCGGACAGGAAGATGGCCGCCTAGAAAGTGCCTCTGGTCTGTGGTTTCCATGCTCCTGTGGTAGTGTCTGCCTGCGTTTTTGGTAGCAGGGTAACTGCCAATCCAGCCTCAGTCTCTGCTCTGACTCAGGGCCTGGTTATTTATGTGGGGCCGCGCAGGCGCGGGGCCCACTGTCCATCCCGTCCCATCTCTTATTTATTGAAACCTGCTACTGCCCTGTCCCTACATCTCCAACCCCACACTTGAGTAATAAAAGGTGGAAAGTGGTGGCATGAGGCGCTTCCTTTCCCGGTTCCCACCTTGGAATCTTGTTTGCTCACCTCATGCTTCCAGGGGCCTGAGACAATGTCCTTCCCTTCCTCAGCACTGTCCTCTGAAGGCAGGGCAATGGGCAGAGGTGGCTTGTTTCATTCTCACCAAGGTCCCCAAAGGCCGGGCTTCCCAATAGAAATACAGACTGAGCCATGTGTGTGATTGAAAGTGTTCTAATAAGCATTCCAAAAAGCTTTTTAAAAAGGTAAACTTAATTTTAATATTTTTAACCCAGTAAATCCAGAATGTTTTCATTGCAATATAAAATAACTATGAAAATCATGAACGAGCTTCTATTTTTCAGTTTAGAGTCTTCTGTATTTTACACATCTTGACATGAACTAAATATGTTTCGAGGGCACAAGAGCCATGTGGTGAGTGGCAACAGCTCTACAGGAAGCAGTTGACATGTAGAAGCTCAGAGTGTGGGAGGGGATGTGTTCCACGAAGGCCAAAGGTGGGAGGGACTAAGGGTTCTCCATGGCTGTTGGGACGACAAAGTCTTGGTCCTCTTGGTCATACAGGAGCACCGGAAGGAAGCAGGAAGCTGCTGGAGCTCTGGGGATATGGATCTGGGTAAAATGAATAGTCTACAAAGATTCAGGTGGGCATTTACGGCCAACTGGGCTGGGAGGGTCCATTTTTAGGAAAAGGTCTCAGGGCAGATCCTAGAGCCTGGTGATAAGAAAGCCATCAGGGTCCTGGTGGCCAATAAAGGGTTTGGGGAAAGTTGGCCAAGAGGCCAGAAAGTCTGTCATGTATCCTGGGGTGGGGGTGGGGGGTAGAGGGCAGGGTGGACAGGGCCTTGGTAGTTTCCTTGGTGAGAGCTGAACTAATACCATGATAATCAAGGGACACCATCCCATATCAAAGCCACCATGGTTGGTGGGGTTTTGTTAATGTGTGGTATACTGTTTAATACTGAAGAGAGTGCTGAACGGTGGTGGCACACACCTTTAATCCCAGCACTCAGGAGGCAGACGCAGGTGGATCTCTCAGAGTTTGAGGCCAGCCTGGTCTACAGAATGAGTTCCATGACAGCCTAGGGGCTATACAGAGAAGCCTGTCTTGAAAAACAAAAACAAATGGAAGAGAAAGGCAAAAACTACTGGCTGTCCCATGGAGGCGGAAGGACTAGAAATTGATAGAACTTGTGAGATGTGGAAGGCTGACCTAAAGAAGGGGTCCAGGTGGCCATGCTGGACTTGAGAAAGCCTGACTTCACTGAGGACAGTTTTCTGGGCAGAAACCATGGTGGGTGGCTGGCCTAGCAGGTGGGGGTAAGAAAAGCAACCTTTGACAGGACGGGCACGTTTTGAGTATCCACCTAACCCTGCTTCTCCCTATATCCTTTGGGTACATGGTCCTCTATGAAGTAGGTGTAGACAGTTTCCCTCAGTGTATGCAAGAAAATGGTCCCTATGGTTTCAGGGTGCCCTTGGCATCCATTTGCTGTATCTCAAGACTTTGGCTTCTCAAGTTTGCCTGTCCCTTTAGTTAGCCAACTCATGCCCCCCACTTATCTATGATTTGGATAACACAGCCCACTTGGGTGGTGCATGAGGATAAGAGTGTTTCCTGGGGGTGAGGCAGGAGGTGGGACCCCATCCATTCTCTGGGAAGGCTAGATTAGAGACATTCAGATACCAGTCAGGGTGGAAGTATGTTTGGGCTTCCAGACTGGTAAGCATGCTCCTATGACCAGTACTCTGCCCTGCTCCTGCTTGCTCAAAGAATTGCTTGTTTCCTCATTTGCTGCTTTTTGGTTTTTTAAGACAGGGTTTCTCTGTACAACAAACAGCCCTAGCTATCCCAGAACTCGCTCTGTAGACCAGGCTGACCTTGACCTCACAGAGGTCCACCTGCCTAGGACTAAAGGCGTGCACTACCAAAGTCCAGCTCCTTATTTATTTCCTTTGTGTATCATACAATTTCCCAACATCAGACCAAAGTGGTGGGAGGTGATGCAGACGTGTGACACTCTCCACAGCCCCACTTTCTCTTGGGAACTTTCCTACAAGCCCCAGCAGCCCTCTCCCTAGTAGGGGTGGGAACTGGAGGGAAGAGTAGGCATTGGGGTCCAACCTCCTAGCTGTCTTCTCCCTTCACCAGTTCCACGATGGATCATGTACAGAATAGGATGGGAGTAGATCAGGAGGCAGAGTGAAGCTTGGTGGGAGGTGTACCAATTTCCAGTTCCCATTCTAGAATGGGCCAAGGTATGTCCACTGGTCCAGTAGGCCTATCCCTACCCCATGGAGGGTTTTACTGGTTCTTGCAGCATTGGATTGGAACTCAGGACTTACCCAAGTTAGACAAGTCCTCTCTCTCTGCTGCACCTCCACGGAAGGTCTTCAAACATTACTGAATCTTCTGCAATATAGAGGAAGCAGTGGCACACACCTGGCTTCCATCTTTTGGGGTGATCACTTTAGGCCAGTTTCTCTCTCTCTCTCTCTCTCTCTCTCTCTCTCTCTCTCTCTCTCTCCATCTTTTCTGGTAGTCTGTGGCACACTTTC